CCTAGTTTCCGAGTGGTGGTACCTTGGCACGCTCATCGTCGCTGCGGGCTTCGGTTTTGCGGGTGTTGCGGCGTGGCCTACCTACACCACGCCAGGCGTTGTTCCCTACGGTATCTTCTTAGCTGTTATCTTCGTCATTCCTATCGGAATCATCAAGGCCATGACAGGTATTGAGGTTACCCTCAATGTTCTGGCTGAGTTCATCGGTGGTATGTGGGTACAGGGCAATGCTCTGGCCATGAACTTCTTCAAGTCTTTCGGGTAAGTCCTAAAAGTCTCTCAATCCTTTTGATTACGCCTGATTCTAATAGCGTTTGATTAGTTACGTGACATGCGCCCATGCCGTCCACTTCGCCAACGACTTAAAGGTGGCTCACTACCTTAAGATTCCTCCCCGTCAAACCTTTGCCTGCCAGATGGTCGCCACTCTCATCTCCACGTTCGTCTGCACCGGTGTGATGAACTTCCAGATCAACATACCCAACGTCTGCACTCCCGATGCGCCCATGCGTTTCTTCTGCCCCGGTCCCAACACCTTCTTCACCGCTGCCGTGCTCTGGGGTACCATTGGGCCCATCAAAGTCTTCGGTCACCAGGGACAGTACAACTACCTTCTGCTCGGATTCCCCTTGGGCATCATTCTGCCGGTCCTGTTCTACTACCTCATCAAGTTCTACCCCAAGAACCGCTACCTCCGCCAGTTCCACCCTGTTGCTCTCTTCTACGGAGGCATCAACTGGGCTCCGTACAGCTTCTCCTACGCCTGGCCCGCCGTCCCCATCGCCTGGCTGTCCTGGATCTACGTCCGAACCCGTTACTTGGCCTTCTGGTCCAAGTATAACTTTGTCCTGTCGGCCTCTTTCTCCGCCGGCATTGCACTTTCGGGCATTCTCATGCTCTTCACTGTGCAGTGGCTCGGCGCGGAAGTCAACTGGTGGGGCACCTCTCAGATCGGCGCCGGCTGCGAGGGTTCCGCATGTACTCTCAAGTCCCTGGCCGAGGGCGAACGCTTCTACCCTTGGTGGAACCCCTCCCAGGTTCCCGCCCCCTGAGCTGCTTCATCGCTGCTTGTCCCACTGGGCGTTTACTGCTTCTGTTGGGCACGCAATGATGTGAACCGCGGCGGGTCTTCCGTCAGATCAATCCTTTGATTCACATACATTCGTTGATTAACGTCTAATCATGACTAAGACAGATATGAGAGAGAAAGAGATGGATGAGGCTGCGGGCTGATATGTAGCGTTGAGCTGGTTTTTCTTGATATCCCCTTATGTTGAGCGCAGAGGATCGTCCCTCCTAGATTAACATAATATTACCAATTATGGTCGCAATACCTAGGCTCGTCTCTCACGCCGGTGCATTGAGCACAACTGACTGAATACTGCAAGTGACTGTGTCGCCGCTGACACTTGCACTCGTGCCGGTGATGGTATAGTTGGTCGCGGAGTTGTAATTCTGCGGCAAGCTGGTGCACCAACTTGAATCTGAACTGCCAGTGGAGGTCTGAAGGTTGTCAATTGGGTTCCCTGATTGACGCTGGGATATAGTTGGACATACAATTACAACGTTGTCGAATGCTAGTGGACCAAAGTCCCATGAGACGTCGTACCTAAAGAACATTAGTCGAAAATCCGTTGTTTGACATCGGGTGAAGCTCACAATTCAATGGCAAAGAGCACTTGATTGAAAGATTTATCGGCTGGAGTAGGCACCTCAAGTCAGTATTACTACACGGCCTCCCCCATCGTCCAATGGTGGCTTACCCAAAGCGAAGTCATTGGTAACAACCTGGCCACCAGTTTGCCTCGTCACAGTGCTGGTCCACGCCGAATTGTCCGATTTCAGGATGTTCTGGAACGAAATCGTCTCCCCGCCGTACGTGTTGAAGCCTCCGCCCCAAGGGAGACTCGGGTTGGAGCAGCACCACCCGGAGCCGAGCCACCATGTTCCGCTACGGCCGTCGAGTACGTTTTGGTATACGCCGCTGTTATCGGTCGGTTGCAAGCCCGGCCAGAGGTAGTAAACGCCGGCGCGAGGTAGTGACGGGATCACCATCTCGCCCGAGAGAGAGGTGAACTTCTGACCTGAAGCGGGGTAGTAACGGAGGAAATACCAGGTCACCGCCGATACTGGATTGGCCAGAAAGAGTAGAGGGAGGACGAAAATTGCGCGATGCATTTTGGCGGTGTATTGATGTTGGAACTAGATCTCTCAAGCCGAGGATGAAAGCCGCAATGTCCGCTACCCACTGAGACGAGACGAAGTGATGTACCCAGATGCTGTACTTACCTAGGCCTTTTATGCCTAAAGATTACGAACTTATCTTGACATCTTCTGCAACCAGTCTCACAGAATATCGGGACGGTGCCATGGGCGGTTGCAACGGTCGTGCCCCATAATCCATTTCAGGAAGTTGAACAAATCTGGACCAGGATCAGCTACTCTTCATCCATCTGAAGTCACCCTACTTTATCAGTGATGTTCGAACGGAATTTGCCCCGCCAGTTCATTGATACCAGGATGCAACGTGTGAATGCATCCTGACCCAAATTCAGAACCTCGTCTGCCTTCTGCCGTGCGGCAGTTGTCAACTACCCTGCATCTCGCGATAAGAAGGCTGCATGGGATAAATCCCCAGGCGGACTTTCATTGGGACGCTTAAGACTTGACGATGACAAGGGTCCATCTTTGGAACGGGATGGAATGAAGCTTAGATTTATTTAGGTAGAAGATAGTGTTTAACGAACCAGTCGTGTCTCATTTACACCGTATGCCCAAACAAAAGGAAAAGTCGTAGCAGGATATGACATAATGGCATCATGGTCCCTGCGTCTGCTTATGATTTCCACTTCACATAAGGTGCGCCTTAGTGCCACCGCCGAATCGCCGAGTCGCTACCTTTCGTCCGCATCGCTGGCAGCTGTGAACGACGTCCTTGAAAGGCCTCATGGCATACGGAGCGAATACGCCAACACCAGTGGTGAAAAACAGCATGACGGCCATCCAGCTACAGAAATAAAAGTATCAGTCAAAAGTTTCGAGTAATTATGAGATACACGGCATGGGGACGACGTACTGCGCTCCTTTGCCAATGGTATGGTCCGTTGTAGTGGGAGTGACGCCCTTGCAAGCAGGGCACTCGATCAAGGCAGGCCATCTCTCAACGAGGGCAACAGGCACGACGTTTGCCCGGGAGCCTTCACCAAGAGATTCGCCATGGTTGCAGTGGACAACGTGACAGTATTTGACATTAGGTCCGGCGATATCATGGCTGCCGATGGCAGTTGACGCGGGAGTATGCATTGCTTGGTATTGAGGAACTGGAGATCGGATACTGAAATCTTCGGGAGCGTTCGACATCGTTTCTCATGATACACATTAGCCACAGTCATGGAAAGCGCTTTGAGGTGACATAACTTACCGGATTCACCTTTGATCATGCCTGGATTATAGCTAAAACGAATGTTGTATTATGTTGAGATCAGATGAGATAGCTGATGAGGAAGTTGTTACTAAGGGCTTGGGAAGACCGCATTCATATAGATATGGGCCAAACACTCGAATAACATGGAACGCAACCAACGGATAGCAACCCCGTTGACCAATAAACACGGCATCTATGTGATAGTTCCTTTGATGAAACACGGAACCTGCCATCTGCAGTCTGCCACACGTCAGTTGCATATCGCCGAATGCATCGCTGTAAGTCGTTGTTAAGGCTCTACCAGCCATGTTGTCCAGCATTGTCACTGAGAACCAATTACATCGTGGAATAGACACTGTTGGCCAGCAAAATAAACCTGTGCCAAGAAGTTGCCTCATTCGTTGCTATGAGCCCGTTCCCCGTTGTGGCAGTCGAATCCTTCGGGGAAATGTAGCGCTCTAAATGCTGCTGCCTGGCCGTCTCAAAATAGCACCCAGAGCTCGTGTTCCCTCCCTGCCGATCGCCGAATCCGTCTTCAGTTCCACAGCCATACAGGAACTATGATTTAGTGGATTGAACCGGCTTGGATATCAATGAGGATTCAGAATTCCTGGGATATGGCTCTCCGCACTTCAAAAACCCTGGTTGGAGATGCTTTTGAGGGTCTGTGGTCCGTGGCCATGAGGCCTCGTGACAATGATTACTAGGCATTGTCTAACAAAGTGGACCCTGACGTACTCAAGGAAGTACAGAGACGTACAAGTAGTGTTTGGGGTAAGAACATTGTTTTTAAATGCTATATGAAAGGGGTTCGACGAGACACAGTTTCTGACAGTGGATGGAGGTAGCCTTGTCAAACTTGAAAGAGGCTAGCCGCTGGTATGAGAATCAAAGTCAGAGTGACAGACCTAGCTCTTTACTTTATCGATCCATTTCTTTGTTGATGGGGAGAGCTGACGCGGCCTCTAACGGTCTGCCATGGCTCGTGGCCTCGGGCCCGAGGATGCAGGCTGTGTTTCGGGTCTAGCCTAAAGCCATACACATGCTGCCAAGACGTATTTCTTCCTCGTATCAATCGTGCATGGGAGTGGAACGCTCCTGATGCCGTGGAGATTGATTTGAAATTACAAACTGGAGCCAATGAAGTAAGTTGAAGACTGTGAAGCAAAGAAAAAAAAAAAAGAAAAACAAAAACGTGATATCATTTTTGTAAGCTGAACCTCTCCCCGAGTCCAGCTCAATTCATATAGAACATGAATCTGTCAGGGCGTCATGTGTATCTCGTTGTCCACAGCTTGTCAGTCAACATGGTATCATCGATCATTGGAGTGAAAGTGTGGCGAAATATCTGTGACGAGATGAAGAGGTAAGAGAATAGCAATCAAGATGATTGAGTATCCCTGCTTGTCCATGTGTCTTCCCCCTCAGATCAATTCATTGCTGAGAACAGCACGAACTCAATTGAATGCTAAAGCAAGGTGTAATGATTCGGAACTATGTACATTCGTTGAAGAAATTGTATCGGAAAATGTAATTGGAATGAAAGTAATGTCGTACAGCACATCGACCCTTTGACCTAGAGAGGTCCGTCACCGTCCTGCAAAACGTCGTTCCACCACTCGTCATGACCCTCAGACTTACACAGACTGTCCCAGTCTGCTTCTGCCAACCCTTGTTCTTTGAGATCCTGTTTCTTGAAGATGCGGGGCTTCCTCTTCTGAGCATCTGATGCCGGTGCTGTGTAAACCAAGTCTTCCACTCCATTACGACCCGGAACTCTGAGCAGCGGCTCCAGGGCCTCTCGTGATTTTGAGTGCAGCTCTAGTAAACTTCGGAGATAAGGAAAGAACCAGTTGTTCTTCCACCAATCGCGCAGTCTCTGGCCTTTTAAGCCATTACGATGGGCATTATGGTGTACCACAACTGGCACTGAAGTACTCCAGAAATCGGTGTAAAGCGGAAGATCTTGCCATCCCATATTCTTGTCAATGGCAGTCTCTTGGATAGGACTGCGTAAACCAAGCATGTCTCCTGGGATGCCAGCTACCCTTGGTGGATCAATGCCTCTATCGGCCGCGGCTTGTCGGAGTCCAGGACCATCTGACGACGCAATGTATAGCCCATCATCTTCTTCGAAAACGGTAGGGGTGAAAAGGTCTTGGATATAGTCTAGACCGACACTGAAGTCATTTTGCTGAAGTTCCTGAGCAGACTTTTCAGGCTGATCAGCTTGGAGTTTCACCCATTCATCGTGGTTTTGTCGCTTAGAAGTCCGCCAAATCTCTTGCTCGCCGAAGATCTCCGCAAAAATACCTTGGTCGCTGAATATACCTTCACCGGCAGACTGTTTTTCATCGACTTTCTCTTGGGCACGACGGAACATACGCTTCATATCTCCGACGGGGCCCATAATACTGCCGCTGTTGACATACCGTGGGCGGAGGTCATGCATTTGCTTGGGATCTTCGTCCGTATGGGTCCCGTACATGTCCTCCCGTGCACTAGACTCGGGAAGATCGTCGCAGTGGGGGTCAGAGCCAAGACTAGCATCGGGCCAGCATTTCTTCTGGGTCGAGATGATGATAGTCTGCCGCGGTATGAGATTGTTTCCTGAGTTTGACGAGAACCAAGAAGGGCTTCCTATCCACTCCTTTCGAATGCGTTCGTCTGCAGCGTAATTCTGCGCCATATATCGTCGAATGAGGACGGATGGCGGCAGCTGAAACCAGACATCGTAGGCGTCGACGAGGAGAACGAGGTCATCTGATCCAAGGCGTTCATCGTCTGGAGCTTCTTCAGAAGTGATTGAATCAAGAAACTCGAGGGTGCCATCGATCTTGCCAAGATGAGAGCCTCCGAACCAGCCAGGAGACTTTCGAAAGTCGCGGCCCCAGTTCACAATGACCGAGCTGGGATAGCCGGATGCAATACCCGACATGAGCATCTTGCATAATCCTGGAGATGGGCCATCGGCCGGCACGATGATTCTGAGACGTCGCTGACCAACTTTCTCCACAGGAGGCAACGATGACAGTGTGTCTCTGGTCGAATCGGGTATGTATTGTGTGATATCTATTATCTGTGTGACTCTGTATGTGTCAGGGCTTGTGCTGTCACCTGGCGAGGCAAAGGGATACTAACAACGGCAAATAGTAGTCCAGAGAAAAGGATGACAGGAACAATAAGCTTTACCAAAGCCTTAGGGGGCGTCCTATGGAGTCTATGTGAGGAGCTTTGCTTATCATATGACCTGGGGGACCGTAATGCTTCAGCATCAATCTCGGCGTTGAGCTTTCTGTAGGTCTGGTTGCGCGGCGTCCTCGTCCACGCCATGATGCCAGATGCTACATCCTTGAGGACCGACATTTCGGGATACTTGCTGAGTAAAGAATGTTAGGAATGATCGAGAGTCCAGGCAAGTGTAAAGAGAGTGTGTAAAGAATCCGAGCCAATTATAACGCAACTGGACTAAACGCTTGATGGGGAGAAATGAAGAAGAGGGGCCTCTTTATCGAACCAGTCAACCTGGGTTGCGATCAGTCTGATATGACATTGACACAGTACGCATGCAAGACATCAGGCAAAGTGAAATTTATCTCATTCACAGATACTCCTTGCTGAATTGCTTGCTCCCTACGAAGCTTAGGTGACGTGGCGTTTGCCCTGCGATTAGGCTTAAAATAAGTCAAGCCGAGGCGGCAAGAAGCCGAAATTGTGTGGCCGATCCGCCTCCTCATAGGAGAAAATCGTGTGCCAAGGGGCTCTGGCTCGCCTTGGACAGACTTTTTGTATGATATTGAAGAAATGATGGGCCGTCGACGATAAGGCACGCCGCACATTGACCGGAAGAGGCCCTTACACCCCGACCTTGGGATGCCGTGGCGGCTGACGACAGCCCGCAACTTGGCAAGACACTTGGCTTTTGGGTTATCTAAGAGATTAAGACGGCTTGGTCAACTTGTTTTTCATGCTATCTTAATGACTGTTGCAAATTATGCAGTAATACATGATCATAAAATGCATTGTCTAATAGAAAGCTACTGAGAGCTTTACGTCGCAAGTTTCGCAAGAAGCGCAACTCGAGGGCAAAATGCGAATATGTACTGATTAGAAGTCAACTGAGGATCAAGATTAGGCTCGTACCCGGGCACACACTTAAGCAAGTCTGCGGCGCGGGACGTATATAAAATAACAGCCACATCTTGGCTTCAATTCCCATCCCAGATTCCGGACCCTTACCTGATGGAACGCCGGTAGACTAGCTCAGCTCAAATCCTGATGGTTGTGCGACAGTGTCTCGGCATCTCTCAGGCACCTTTCATTTTCCGAAGCGAGCACGTATAGCTCCGGATAATTCCCATTGTTCAATGTGGTAAACTCGTGCAGCATGGGTCTGCTTCAGTCTGCTGGGCGAAATCTACCAATCTCAAGACCAGTTGGCCGTCGGGTCATTACCAGCCTGGCCTTGACCGAACCCAAAACCGTACGTTTCCGGTTGTAAAGGTTGAGATCCGAGTGGACTACCAGGCTTGCCACTCTCAAAGGGAGTACCAAGAAGTTGCGCAAGCCTCATTGTGAGATTCTGGTCTCGGTTGGGCAAATTCCCCATCAGTCCTTGGACGAGATACATCGGATGTGTTGCCGTGCCGAGCAAAGATTGCAAAACCTGAGTATCAAAAGAAAAGAAACGTTAGTCTGTGGTCGTGGCTTCAAAGCTCGCACTTCAGATCATGTCTCACCTGTGCATCTTCACCGAGACTAAAACCCGGGATGAGTGGCACACCACCGCCGTTGTTGCCGACCAAATTCTGGGCGCGCATTATATTCTGGGCATCATCGACGGCATATTGCGCTGTCCGTTGCATCATGGCGCACGCCGTCAAGACACGCTTCAAGTCGCAACCTTCAGATTTTTCAAACTTTTGAAGGAAATGGGCGAAATTCCTTGTTGCTGCTAAGTCCCCTCGAGCACGAGCAGAGCCTGGAGTCTCGAGCACATCCGTCAAAAGAGTAATGCTTGCGCAAAGGGGGTAACACAAGATTCGCCTGCAAATGTGAGTCGAGTGTCTCAGACCAAGGGTGACAGCTTCATGCGCGGAGACTTACCATAGGTCTGCATATTGGGGCGTTGAAATGGTCCTAAATAATCCCAAGGTCGCGTGCGCCGCCATGCGGCATCGCTTCTGCGAAAAGGACAGCTGAATGTAGGGCATTTCGAAACCAGCGGGCGTTCCCATGAGGACAGCTACAGTCGAGTATTGGTCATGCCGTCTAGCCGCCCAGTGGACCATCATTGTGCACCTATAGAATGCCAACTGCAGGTTGAGGATATCTGGTGCAATGTCTGACCCCAATGCAGGGGCTTCATATGATGGCTGGAGGTTTGCGGGCATACTTGATCTCCACTCTTCAAGGAGAGCATCTAAATCAATGATGGCCTTAACCAGATCGGCGTCGGTAAGGCGGAGTCCTTTCGCCGTGTACAATCGTCTTCGGATTGAAGACTCTACCATCGCAAGCTTCGCTCTGAGGTTCAATATGTCAACACCTTCTCCCCAACCGCTGGGCAGTTCAGTCTCAATGTCGTCATCGTCTTGTATCGAATCCAGGCCATGGTTGAGACCCGTTTCTTTATCCAGTATGTAGGCCGCCCAGAACACCCGACTCCGTGCTTCAACATCCTGAGCACACATGGACATCATTGTACAAGGCTGCCGATGTAGTCCGATGTTTTGAGACAGTCTCACTGCCGCAGAAGATAGCAGAGTCGCAGTTCTGGTACATGTAGTTCCTTGCATGAAAACCGCCATGGCGACAATGGCCTGTACAGAGAGCAAGTCGCCACCCTTCACCATCAGCTCTGTCAGGACAGAAAATGCATTTTTGAAGAAAGGCCAGGCAAGTTGACAAACTTCTTGGAACGCGCTGTTGATGGTTTTCCACCGCGTCCCTACAGAGATGACGGCGTTCATGTATGCCCATCCCGACGTACTATTGAAAGTGTCATCCGCTTCCGGTAATGTTTCGAAATGACGCACGAAGTAATGAAAGTTCAAAAGCGGGTAATTGCTGATGACGTCGTCGTAGAGAGGCATCAAAATAGTGATGGCTTCCTCCCTTTCGAGTCGAGGAGTGAAGACTTGTCTGTTGAATGTAGAGCAGTAAGAGGCGGAATTGACCTCTCTCATACGGCTTGCAATTACGGCAAAAACTGGCATCTTCCCCGAAAGTTGTGTCGGCGGTTCGGGGATCTCTCGAGGCTGAGGGACGGGTGTCTGACTGCTTCTTGAATTAGGCGCCGACAATACCGCTTCATCACCCATGGGGTGATCTGACGGAACATGACTGGCTGCAGCTTGCGGCGCATCAAGTCGGTGGTTCGTTATCGGGACTGTGCTGTTTGGTATGGCCGGGCCTGCAAACACGGAGACGGAGGCGGCATCAGTTTCTGACGGCGATATTCTTGTCGGCGGTGCTCCTGGTCTTGGAAGCCCAGCTTGATTGAGCACGGCTTCCATTTTGGATAGTCGTTCCTCTAAAGCTTGGATGTACATTTTGCTTTAATATTCAAGTCAATTTCAATATTCAATTGAGAAAGGCAAGAGTCATGTAAGTGTGCAGGCTACGAGATGATCGTACCTTCGACCAGGTCCACGGCGCCTCTGTACTTGCTGGTACACGCACTCCTGACTGCGATTGACGCAAGGTGTACATGATGGCGTCTTTCCATCGCATTTGATCTTCTTCGATTGGCATCGGAGACAGGCCTTTGTTTCCACGTGTAAGTGTCTGTCGTTGAACGTCCTTACTTCTCAGGGTCTCACAAACCTTCGCAATGCGAGAAGCTTTGTCTTGGGTCCGTCCGCTCTGGACGGACTCAGTATCCATAGCGTCCATGGCAAAGCATGTATGTTGGTGTGCCACGCCGGTGCGCGGGGGTGTGGGGATACCGGACCGCCAACACCCCGGACGGTTCAGTTGAGAATCGGACGGCTGTTTCGGGAATGAGTCCGGACTGAGCGACCCACTCGGCCAGGCGGCGCGTTACGATATGCTAACGACACCTCGGCTCCGAATAGCAGCCGGCAGTCCGCAAAAGAGAAGTAGATTGAGAATCCGACTAAGGCTCCAGGATCGAATCGGACAAAATGCAGGAAAACTTTCACAGTAGATGAGAGAGGAAGAGGAAGTAGTTTCATGATTGGCCCGGTCACGTAATTTCCGGAAGTAAAATGCATCCGTGCTAAAGGGTTAGGTAAGGAGGCTGCTCAGGTCCGACTCAGTTGAACCGCCGCAAAGGGAACTTTCCGCAAGTAATCTATGCCGTATGGGGACACAACCGCTTTGGGCACTCTGGAGTCTGCACACTAGACTTATGGATCCTTCAATGGCTCCACGGAAGCAAATTGTTACCGGGATATCTGGATGGGATTCAGTACGGGGTACGAAGTACGAATATTTAATTCCACCACGTCCACGATAAGTTAACAACTGTGTCGATTGAATCCGCCTTTACGAATGCAAAGTCCGAAAACCTTGTTTGCTTCCGCCGCCAGGATAATGAGGGGATATGGATAGGGGTACACCTCTACAAACTCCGCTAACTACTAGCGGGGTATTGATGGGACTGCAATTGTGTGCTCGTAGAATACATGATGGACCTCTATAAGAGCCAGTGCCACCACGGCCATGGTTATTATCGTAGAGCTATTAATTAGACAGCAACTCTACCTTTACTCACTCGCATGATTATTGTGAAAACTTGCATCTAGTCTTGTGTTCCGAAAGCACCACACGCAAAATGGCAGTCATTGCAGTTGCCGGAGGCACCGGAAACGTGGGCCGAACTTTGGTCGAGGCAATCGTGGCCACTGGCAAGCATGAGGTCAAAATTCTCGCAAGAAAGGTAGACCACAGTGCTAAGGGATAGTCGTTCTACTAGAATTGGTACTAATTTATTTCATTAGGCAAACCCCGAGTTGGAAAAGAAACTCGGAGCTTCGATCGTCGTAGTTGACTACGCCGATGTAGGAGCTACTACCAAGATTTTGGAGGAGCACAATGTCCATACGGTCATTTCAGCTATCAACATGATGCCGCCACCAGGAGAGACTCCCCTTGAGTTTGAGCTAATTCGCGCCGCCGACGCATCAGCGTCGACCAAGAGAATGATTTCTAGCGGATGGGGCGTCCCTCACAACGAGAGGTTAGTTTAGATCGAACGCGGATGATATCCAGAGTTCCAGAATTGCACACTGATACTAACTGTCAATGAAGTCAAGGCAGCCAACTGGGTTCTGTGCCCAACAAACTTCGCGCCGCCGCTCTCTTGAAAGAGACCAAGGATCTCGAGTACACCGTCGTCC